AAAACTTGCACACGCGCGAGGGAAAAAACAATCCGAGACAAAAGTATGTAAACGATCACTCTGTAACAACATAATCGCTTGTTCTACCTTGATTCTTTTTCTTTTGAAAAAAAATGTGGTCGAGTGAACTTTTTGAATTTCGTAATCAACTATAATGTTACATAAATGATTACTTTTATCCCCTCAAATGAGGCATGCGGTCATCAGGTCTTTTTTTTTTTTATGGAGTTCACGACGGTGGTAGAGTTCGAAACTTCGATCACCTCATCCAAGCACTTAAAACTTGGAGTCGAATCATTGGACCATAAAGGCCGGTTCAGATAATAAACTATATTTATTTCAATTGATTACTTTTTATTTTTATTTTTTTATTATAATTTTTATTTTTCTGAGCCAATGCATATTAACAATGCTACAGGACTTTCTAGTAAAAACTATTCCGAGGGAAAACTTACCAAACAAGCGGTAGGTGTGATCGGCGAGGTTTTTTTTTTTTTACGTGATGGCCATTTAAATAAAATTTTTAATAGAATATATATACAAACTACCAATGAAAGAAAATTGGCAAAACTTCCTCTTAAACCCCAGATTTATCTCAAATATAACATGTGAACTCTTAAATTAAAAATGATGTAAGTAAGTCAAACCCCTCAAAAAACACAAATCAACCTCATCATTAATGGTCCAATACATATAACCTCACTCCTCACGGACCAAACCTTAAATCCACAATACAAATAAGACGGTGGGGACAAATTCACTTATTAGAAAAAAAGTATGGACAAATTATTTTTTAAAATTATCAATTAAAATAAATTATTTATTATTTAATATATTATGTTATCTTACAATATGAATTTGTTTACCACCTAAGGTTTTTTTTAATAGAAAATTGACATGTAATGATATCACAAGTTAAATAATTGATAATTTATTTTAATTAATAATTTAAAAAAATAATTTATTTTTTTTTGATAAATTTCCCTACTCTCTTATTTGAAGGTAAATTTGAGGGTTTGGCATAACCTCACACTATCTATTCGTTTTCTTTGCCCGTTCCCACTTTTCTATGTACATGCTGACATGACTCAGATAACCCCTTACATGGTAGAATTTTCACAAAAATAATTCACATGAGTACATGACACATTTTTTTTTATTTAGTGTTTTCAAGTTACGTAAATTATTTTAACAAAAATTTTATCGTCCAAAAGGTTTTTTTATTCACATTGGCATTCAAATGGAAAGATGGACAAATTAAAGGAAAAAAAAATAGATATTGATGCCACATATTTTGAATCATCAATGAAAAAAACTAATTTATATCTTTGAAAAATATAAACACTTATTTACATCATTTTTATTTTAAATTTAAGAATTCACATATTAATTTAAAATATCCCTGCAGATTTAGGGGGAGGTTTTGCCTAGAAAATTTTCCAATCAAACAGACCCTTTCTTTGGTTGGGGTA